CCCTCTGTTCGGTTAGTTATCTGAGGAAAAGAAAAAGCAAAATTGAAATTATGTTGATGTTATAGTTTCAAGAAATTGGAAAGCAGGCCTAATATATGGGAAATTGGTTGTAATTAGTACTGTTACAGTGGGGTTTTGATTACTCACAATTGTTTGGATTAGGTGATTTGGGGAGAAAAGAAAACTTACTTTTTTATAATCTCTTGGTGATTGTTAGTTTTGTCTCCAAAATTCTCATGACAAGTGGTTTTGATTTCTCCTTAATCACATAATAAATATTTTTTTGTTCTCTTTTCTTTTTCTCTCTCTATTTTTCAAACGATTGGGGATGATAACGGTCTCTTCTCTCTTCTTTACACAGCTAAATTATTCAAACATTTGAGTTGCCTTTTCATATCCTTCAGGACATGACCCAGTCAACCCCAACCCAGGATTTGGTTGCCAAAGATCTTCATGGGCATGAGTGGCGATTTAAGCATATATTCAAAGGCAAGTCCCACCCTTCTTGCCATTTGCTTCATGCCTTTTTGCCATGTTGTCCTTTAATTCAGGTATAGTCTATAGATAACATACTGAGAGGTGAAATCTATATTTCTTTTCCTTTGCATAAATTGATGATATCAGGTCAACCTCGAAGACATTTGCTTACAACAGGCTGGAGTACTTTTGTGACTTCCAAAAGATTAGTTGCAGGGGATGCTTTTGTTTTCCTGAGGTATTCGATACTTGATTTTTAATTGGTTTAGCTATGTGATTGCCAAGGAACTATAAGGTGTTTTTATTCTAGGATTGCCAAAAGGTTTACAAAATAATAAGTTGAAATTTGTGCTTAGCTCTGTACTTATTCTATAGTTGATCCTTTAGCTATTGGTTGACATTGTGTCATGCATTTTATATTTGTTTGAAAATTGAGTACGTTGTGATTTCTGAAATGGGTTTGATGGGTTTTGATTTCTGGAATTTGATTTCTAATTTGATTTCTATTGGGTTTGATGGGTTTAATTCGCAGAAATTCGAAGTTAAATGGATTTATAATAATTTGATTTCTAATTTCTAATAATTGTTGTAAACATAGAGAGATGGTGAAACTGTAAGTCTCTAACTTTAATTTGGTGTAAACTATTTTAATTGTTTTGGTTGGAGTGGTTGTGATTTCTGAAATGGGTTTGATGGGTTTCGATTTCTAATATTTTGGAATGGATTTGATGGGTTTAGTTAAATTTGTATGAAACAATAATATCAGGAGTCAATAACTCAAAACACACCCACCCAAACAATTATTATTATTATTATTATTATTATTATTATTAAATTTGGAATGGATTTGATGGGTTTAGTTAAATTTGTATGAAACAATAATATCAGGAGTCAATAACTCAAAACACACCCACCCAAACAATTATTATTATTATTATTATTATGAATTAATTTGATTTATGTTGATTTATTATGGAATGGCTGAATAATTATTGCAAAAAGGGAGTTTCACCATCAACTGCAAAAGTTCATTTCAACCAAAAACTTTCAGTTTTAATAACCATTTGATAGGCTAGCTATTAAATTGTGTAATCATCAGGTTAGATGTGGAAATACTAATCATCAATGTAAAAGGAATACATCTTGAAATAATAGTTATAAACTCTCTAGGTTAGATACATGTAAGACAGGTGTATTTTGCTGTGAAATGGTGGCAAACAAGGCTTGCGTAGGGCTCTGTTTTGTTTAATTTCTGTTTGGTTGGCAAAGAAAGGCTTTGTATTCACACTTTTCTTACCCTAAGGATGGTTTGAATCAGTAAAAATTGTGGATCTTGAATAAAAGTTGCATTCATCTTTGCTGGAATTCGGTTTTTAAATTCTTAAAAATATAATCTGTGTTTTCATGACACACTTTTGAGCTGTCATTTGTCATATTTAGTAGGGCATTCATGGTTTTTTATTTTTGCCATAGGAAGTTACTGTGAAATGGGCGTTTGGGTAATGTGGCGATGCAATTATGGTAATCTTGCTTGCATTTTAAGGTGTATTATTATTGGAAATGAATTCTGCATGTCATGGGGTTTGGGATGCTTATCGATGTACACATAAAGATTGTTGGAAATGAATTCTTGAATTTCAATGCTCTGAAACACTTTTATCGATGTACACATAAAGATTACCTTCCTTTTTGGGATGCTTCAAACACTTTTGATCATCAAATGTATTTCTTCCCCCTGATGATTCATATTTCTCTGATAAATCAGCCAATCTAGATTGTTGATAACTTGGCAGGCACAGACCTTGAAATGTCATAATGTTTCATCAAGAAACACAACATACTGGATGATAATATCATTTTAGGATCTAATTACGAAACACCTGAAAGGATATCTAACTAACATAATTGTTTTTTTTTTGTAGCATTAATATCTATCTATTCTTATAAAAATGTTTTCTTTTTATTGGGACTGGATCATTGAGAACACTAAATGCAATTCTACACTCTTTTTTCATTGTCATCTTCAATGTTCTGTAAGAAGTTTATGAGTGTGATATACTTTATTTTTTACCCATGCAGCAATGGTTGAAGTATCGAAAACCAAGGCTTTTTGTGAGTTCTTTACCTTTGTTTATCTCATTGAACTGTACTTATAAATTGGCATATACTATGTAATTACTTTCACCAAGAACAAGCTTTCTATTTTATGTGTAATTACTTTCACTAAGAACTGTACTCTATAAATTGGCAATCAGGTTTGGTTTTTGGTTTAGTAATGAAATTTTATGCTTACATACACTACTTTCTAAATTTCTTTAGTTAATATCAAGTAAAGCTTTTGGTGAAACATCATGAATAAGTATTTCTACATCTAACCTAGAGAGTTTATAACTATTATTTCAAGATTTATTCCTTTTACATTGATGATTAGTATTTCCACATCTAACCTGATGATTACACAATTTAATAGCTAGCCTATCAAATGGTTATTAAAACTGAAAGTTTTTGGTTGAAATGAACTTTTGCAGTTGACGGTGAAACTCCATTTCATCAAATCTAAATCAAATCAAGGGATTTGTAAAAAAATTTCACCAAATATTCAACAGTCATAGTTTTAATGAAATTTCAAAAAGAGTAATTATTGGATATGCGTTTCTTTCATTAAAAATGGTTAAAACCGATCTTTAGGATAGGTTTGGATTTTTTTAGAAAGATTTGTTGAAATAAAAGAGAGTAAGGTTTGAGTGTTCCATATTACATCAAGCTTTTAACCAAAATTTCTCTAAAATTTGATGAAAAAAAGAGACTAGGGTTGGAGATGCTCTTAGTATAGAGATTAGTATTTTCACATCTGACCTGATGATTACACAATTTATTTTTCTTTCTACAATCTTTGTTGGAGCTGAGTACGAGAAGATTTGGCAATATCAGGTATTTATCAGATTACGGCTTCATGAGTTTTGCCTATTATCATTAATTGTTTTGTTTTTGGTTCTTTTGTTGATGAATTTTCAGTGTGTTGAAATTTTAGAATTGTAATGGATGATTTTCAAGAGTATTAGGTGTTCATTACAATTTTTACTTAATCTATTCAGCTACTCTTGGGATACTCTTGGGATGATTGGGATGATTAGGTGTTCATGATTAGGTGTTCATGATACTTAATAGAATTGTAATACTCTTGGGATTTCAAGAGTATTAGGTGTTCATGATTTTCAACATTATTTTCAACATTACAATTTTGAAAATACTCTTGGGATTAGGTGTTCATCAATCATCCATTACAATTTTTTTTTCAACATTCTTTCATCTGTTCATCTATTTTTTTGGTGTTCTAATTTTTCAGTTGTTGCTTACAACTTTGCCTTTTTGTTATTGTTTTATTGGGTGTTTTTAGATTTTACATTGTGTTCTCTCCTTGCAATATCTGTCC